AGTGTTCTTCTACTTCTACTACTACTACTACTACTACTACTACTACTACTAGCTGTTCATTAATTAATGTGTTAATGCAAAAGTTACAATACATTTTTATTATTAATACTAATAAATAGACTAAAATAGACTAAATTAAGTCTAATAAATAGACTATAACACAGTTGGTGTAATAGTGGGAACCTGGGAAAAGGTCAACAAAAGCAATGTTAAGGGTTAATTTAACATAAATGTACAATCAGAAATATACTTTTGCCTCCATTCCAGACAACCAATGAATGATTACCACATGCATAGACCACTGTATTCCAAGATATTATATTATATATTTCCAAAAAATAAAATGTAAAGCCACAAAGTTTGCAAATTTTAAAGACATTGAAACAAACAAACAAAACAATGAAATGATATACTGAAAGAGAAGAGAAGCACAGATTAGAGGAAAGCAGGCTAACCTGAGTCATAGTTCCCCCAGGTGTATGAACACAGCAGGCTTAAGAACAACATTTTTCAACACTGATGCATTTCCTGCAGCACATGTCCAGTGCTGCAAAATGCTGAGACTATTAGCCCACATCAAAGAAAGCAGTGTATTAGCCAACAAGACATGCACAAGCTTGAAACATGAAACTGAACATGCACTTTAGACCATGCACTTTTATGATATAACACATGCTCGGAATATTTCAGTGTACCTTTTTGACCCAGTTTAAATGATGACTAGATGACAATCTTATTTTCTTTAATTAGTTGCAGTTTTGGCTTTGATACTGATATTATTCTGCTTCGTCTGTATTGGCATGGACACACTTGTTTGTAGAAAGGCATCTGAATCAAAAATTCTAAAACAATCGAAAAAACGAGCGCACTTCCACAATGAAGGATAGGGTCAATTTCTATAAATTGAAAGGCAAGGGCTGTCTAGCACTAATTCTTCATGTCTCTTTTATGCGACACACAGTTTTTGTTGTGCTCTCCTGATGAAACAATGATCTGATTCGCGTGTCAAATAAGGATGTCCCTGGACCAGGTCTAGGGAACAAGTGCATCCACTGGTCTAGCGAAACTAGAATTTACTTTGCATCCAAAACTCTTAAAAGCAAGCATATAGACATCGCTTGAAAGATTTAGAAATATATAGTTGATGTTATTGTTCTTGTGCAAACCTGTGCTGGCAGGCAAGTACAGACACAGTGAGCATTCAAGACACAGAGATGATGCAATCTATACATAAAAGAGAGGTTTGCTTTTAGAGAATATGCTAGTAACTTTAAAAGCCTAGCAAGCAAGCACAACAATATAGTTATGAACAAAGAGTCCAGATTATGTATATATCACGCAGAAAAAAAAATAGTGTGTAATTTTTTTCAGACTAGAGCTACATTTTGTAATTTAATAATGTAAATATAAATTGAATTTAAAATAAAACATCCATTACAATAGTACGGATTTTTCCTAAATGCGCGCACACGCACACAGACACACACACAGACAGACAGACACACTTAATTCAAATATTATTATTTTATTTTATTAATGTCCAAAATATGATAGAGTTATGAATATTTTTACCTTGAATGGTCATTAAGGTTAAATGTATGCATTTCAGTGTCTGCTACTTTTTCCTATGTTATTGAATATGCATGCCTCTGTTGCCTAGTTGCTAATCTTCTAATCAAAAAGTAACTTTCTGATAATAAAAACATAACTTTATTTTAGACATGCATTTCAAAAACAACATTTTGACTGCATTGAAACTTTGCTCTGACACTATGGCCATTCTAGGATTTATAGATTTCTGGTAGTTCCAGTGTTAATGTAAATTATATTACTTCTATTTTAAAGACGTGCAACGACAGCTACTGGTAAAGCATCTGCAGATGAAACTTCCTGAGTAACTGTGTCCCAATTCGCATATTATCAGTCCTAAATAGTATTTGAATATAAAGTTAGTATGTCCCATATCTGGGTATGCTGACAGAAAGTATGCCAAAGGTTCCCGGATGGTTTACTATTTCTGGTAAAAAAAATTTAAGTGTAGAAGCGTCCATACTCTAACTGCTAATATTGTCGATAAGAACTACATTCGCAGGTGAAAAATGTAAATAAACTACAAACAGGATGGACGTGCGAGACCAACCATCAAGTAGAGAAGAAAAAAGAGGTTTTATTTACCGTTAATTAATATGTAGCTCACTGGAAAATATTTAAATAGCGTTTTCTGTGTTATATTTAATCTGCAACAACAATACTGAACTTGTATAAAGACGTGTTTGGACATTACCTTCTGAATGTATAATTACCCAAAGACCTGAGGAGATTTCTCTGCATGAAAGACTTGTGAATGGCAGATTAATCTGCTGCTGCTTCTCCAGTAGGGTAGGAAATTAAATATGACAGAAATGTGGACGATGTGTGGATGATTGAAAGGGTTCATCATTAATCAGATAACAGTCTGTTAATGAGGTAGTAGTATGTTCCAAAACTTGCATACTCTTCTGTTACACACTTAAAAAGTATATACTTTATCTTCACAAAAAAAGTACATATTTTTAGGGGATAATATAAGTATGTGAACTGGGAAGCGGCATACTAGTCAGAGGAATTACATTTACTTCGTTACATTCACTTGAGTAAAACTGTTGGGTAACGTGTATTTTGAGTACATTTAAAAAGGTTTACTTTTACTTAAGTTAATTATTAGAGAAAAACAATTACTTATACTTCACTACATTTTCAGTGTTCCTCCGTTACTGTCAAATGATATTAATATCTAATAATATATAGCTAAATAGCTAATTTTTATTTATTGCTAATAATATTGACCTTAAAATGCTTTTAAAAACATTAGAAACTGCTTTTATTTTAGCCGAAGAAAAAAAAATGTTAGGGGAAATACTGTGAAAAATTCATTGCTCAGTTAAACCTTATTGGAAAATGTTTTAAAAAGAAAATAAATTTCCTAGGAGGGCGAATAATTTTTACTTTAAATAGAAAAAGAAACATTTACATGAGTAACTTTTACTCTTACTCGAGTAACTAAAGATTTTCACTTTTAGTTGAGTAAAAATTTCCACAAGTACTTTTGAATACTCTACACACCTCCGGTACTAGTCAACAATAACATTGACACAGCAAAGAGATGGACAACCCATTTGTCCCAACTATGGTAGATCTGTTAACTGTTAGTAGGGCCAGACAGAATCTGCAGACGTTTTCTGATATTTCTGTGGAGAATTTCGTAAAAATCTGCAGATTTATGCTTAATAATTTTACAACTATCATAACTAAAAACGTAATATATGAAATAAAACAATAATACCTTTTTAACTTATATTTAATAGTTACAATGCAAATCTAACTAAATCCACTTATTTAGTAAACAAAGCAGGTCTCTCATATAATACATCTACTAAAAGACAGAATATTACTTTACAAACCCTATTGTAAACAAATTAAATCAACATTTATCATCACTATTATTATTTCACAATAATATTACAGAAATTGATTTGAAAACTATTTAAATATAAATTTACACACATTTACACAAACACCTAGACTCAATGATGGGCTAAAAATCTGCAGAAATCTGTGGATTTCTGTGCGTGAGGATTACATGTAGGCCTACCTATAAGTAGGGCCAGACGGTATCTGTGGATGTTTTTTGCTATTTCTGCAGAGAATTTTTGTAAAAGTCTGCAGATTTCTACGGAATTATTTTAGGAGTATCGCAAGTAAAACCTTAATATATGAAATAAAAAATTATATCTTTTATTTAATGTTCAAAATGCAAATCCAATTAGATTCACTTTGTTTGGCAAATAAAGAAAGTTTGTCATATGATATATCTAGTAAAAGACAGAAAACATGACTGTACAAACTGCATTGTACATAAATCAGATAAATATGATCAAATTAGTTAATAATATTACTGAAATTAATTAAAAAACTGAATAAATATAGATTTACACACATTTACTCATGTAAATAAACAAAATAATGATAGGCTAAAAATCTGCGGAAGATCTGCTAAATTCTGCGCGCGCAGATTCCAGGGTGGGCCTAAGGCATTTAAGTGATGACTTAGAAATAAGCCTGCACCTTTTTAAACTACAAGCATAGTGGCCAGCCCGTTTCCAAAAACATGCCTGTGTGTTACGAGTCCTTCAGCCAAAGACATACCATGCAAGAAACATTTCAGCTAAACCCTGCAATCTATATCTGGAAGTTGCCGGCAAAAAATGCTGCCCTAAAATAAAGTTTCCTGTGTATCATCACCTGAGTCATACATCTACAAACAGTGCTGTTTGCCAGAAGAAAAGAAGGGCACGAGAAAAAGAATGAGGGTGAGGGAGATGCTAGAAAGTTATCACATGCTGTAAACCAACCTTTCTCTCTCTCTCATACACACTCATCCATCTCTGCTTCAACTATGATAAACAAATGAGTCATCCGAGGGCTTGCTGAGAACACTGACTCACGAACGCTTCATTCTCTCACTCCCTCTGCAGAAACACACTCATCCAACTACACAGCAGCCCCAAAACAAAGTGGATGTATGAAAGAAAAACACCCAGGGTAAAGGAGTCAGGGAATGCAACATGAAGAAGAAGCCAAGACGAGGGGGGCCATTACAATGAAGATGTGTTGTTTTGTACACACTTAAAGGAATAGGCTCAGTCATCGTTTACTCGCCCTTGTGTTGTTTCAAACCTGTGTGACTTATTTTCTTCTGATAATTCGAAGAGTTTTGCTTTTCCAAACAACACTGAACTTTCAATATACAAAAAAGAGAATCATTGCATCTTCTACAGAAAAAGTAACAGCTAAAGCTTCGTCATGCAGTACTCTTAAATCTAAGCTATACTTTTTCAGGAAAACTATTGATGCAAACAAATGTCACGTTTAAAACAAAGACGACAATTTCCAGATGCCAAAGTATTTTCAGAAATGATAATAGTATGAGAAAACAATGTAAATCATAAAGACAATCTTACCTTTCGATGTTGATTCAGATTTCATTAAATCTATGCTGGCATAGGCACCGTTCTCTGGGGGAGGAGCGTTGGAGGAGGACAGGAGAAGCTCATCATGAGCGTTCACAGGCCGTAGATCTTCTCTCAGGTCTAGGGCTATGTAGTTCAGGCCATTCTGGTGTTGCACAGGTAGAGTCCTTGCAGACCTCACAGAGGGGGATTTGGCTCTATCTGAGGAGGTTCCTGGGGTTACCTCGCTGCCGGATGTCACACCTTCAATCCAAGTGCATTCAAAGTTCTGACCCTTGCTGCGGCCCACTTGATGAGTCCCACTATTGCTAGGCAATTGGCCATTGGCATCTGGGCCACTTCCATCTGACGCTCCAGATGATGTGACAAATGTCTCAGAGCTATGTCTCCGCCTGCCTTGGGGATCAGCACGGATAACCTTGGGCTCAGTTGGGGGGCTTAAGGGGAAAAACTGTTGCTCAAGAACACACAGGCGCTCAAGCATAGCTGTAGGGCTTTTAGACTCCTCCTCAGCCCCAAAAGACATTTCTGTGTAGTCATCAGGCTTTCCTACTGCGAGCCCGCTGCAGTGGGACGACGATGAGGGCCGGATATATGAAGGAGGATTCCAGGGGGCCACTAGAGAGGGTCGTGGGGACCGACTCTTTGGTGGAAGGCCGTCCACCTCCACACTCATGTAGTCCTGTGGTAAGGGAGACCTGCGCTGCTCTTGGTTGACAATAGGGGTTGAGGGAGAGCCTTCAGCAGATAACAGACAGGCAGAATATGTGGGTCGATCCCCAAGTTCAACGTTAATGTATTCTCCAGGGCTGGAAGGCCGCACTGCTGCTTCACCTGCTCGAGCAGAGCCATGCAAACTGCGTCTTCCCAGTGGCAGACGATTCGGCCGAACAACGCGGCGGTCTGTGAAACCATTATGCTGAGAGGATTCAGAGGGTGGGCACCTGCTGCTGCGGTCTGGGGTGGCTGTGGGTGACATGTAGACTGGTGTCACTGGGGAACTCATGGGGACATAATCATCATGGTTAGACTGGGTTCTGGATGGAGCTTTGTATGAGCGAGGGAGGGAAAAATATGGACTGTAGGATTTGGGGACAGGAGGAGTGGTCAAGGCATAGTAATTCTCAGCGGAAACCTTTTGAGTACTAGCTGTGGAGCTACTCTGAGACATGTCCATGTATTCTGCATTGTCAGTGCGGTCTGGGGCTCTCCGTCCCTCTGCTCGTCTGCTTGTGTCAGGACTGGACTGAACAGGGGAGTCAGTGGCTCCACTCCGACCAGGGAGCATCATCATATAGCCGTGAGGGTCCATGTGCTGGAGAACACTTATAGCAGAACTTTGGACTTTTGGAGAAGCGGAGAGGAGGATATTTGGTTGCATAGGCATGTAGTCTGCATCACTACAGGAGGGCAGTACACCTGCCATCATGGGCATGTACCCATCATCCTTGGATGCATCTGCAGGCCGCAGGCTAGGGGGCCGGTCCTGGCTGTGTTCAGAACTGGAGCTGTAGTCAGAGCAGAGGGAGGAGGAGGTAGAGACAGTCTGGGCACCGCCACTCCAAGAGCTACTCTCAGCCACAGCCTCGTCCAGCGAGAAGGTGGTCTGGGTCATCTTCTGATAAACAGCCACTCCAGCAGCACTAGCACCCCCAACCTGCCTGGAGAAGGAGGGTGTCCTCCTCCTTAAAGACCCCGGACGTGAATCCTCATCTGTGCTCTCATCTCGGGTGGCCTCAGCAGCTGCGCTCGTCCCGAACACATCACGATTCCAGCCCATAGCCATGTAGTCATTAAGGCAGTGCTCCTCCCGAATGGGTGGCGTGTTCCCCAGGGAGTCAGGGGTGTTGCTGCGTACTCTGAAGTAACGGAAGTCTCCGGGGCTCGAGCCATACTCGTCAGATGAGTTGAAACCTCCATCACTTGGGGATCCACAAATAGATGCGCTGGAGGGGCGGGTGATGGTGTCTGACACAGAGCCATGCCCACTGCTGCTGGACACACTGATTGGACTGGTGTCGAAGGAAAGTGTGACACCGGCAGCGAAGCTGAACGGGCATGATAGGTGGAGCCCGGTGGGGCACGAATATAGCGAGCCCCAGCCCCACTGCTACTTTCCTGTCGGCTCAGGTTAGCACGTGCTGTGTTGAGATGAATAAGGCTACCTGTCACAGAGCTGTAGGGGCGGTTCATTGTGCTCTCTCCCTCGCTGGATGTGCGAAATCGGTACCCACTCGCTCCACTACTCTTCCTGCTAGGTGGTGTGCCCACCACGGACTCAGTCCGAGACCGCCGCTGAAGCCCCGTCTGGCTGGGCGGGAGGTTGCCCAGGTGTCTCCGTGTGGTGATGAAGCCCATCGGGTTGGTGCCAGAAGACTGGCTTTTGCTTCTGGGCCTGAACTCAGCATACGCTTTCAGTGCCTTCATAGTCTCTAGAATAGTCTCGTGCATGTTCTGAGCCACCACAGAATCGTCCACCTGCATCCAAACCTCCCCAGGGCCAATAGAAGAAGAGCGGCCCACCTCAATAAAGAAAAAGCTCTCTGAATGGCCACAGCGCCTGATGTTCATCAGCTGCAAGTTCACACAGGGTGTTTCAGAGTTTAGCTTTACCAGGTGGATGCTCTTGGCAGACAGACAGAGCCTATAAACGCCGGTTAAATTCTTCGTCTGACCCAAGCCCTTTGGTTTAACGTTGACCTGCCACACCTCCTTAAAATCGGTCCCCGGGGTCACAGTACCGTATCCATCGTCAATGTCCTCTGCATCCAAGTGTCCCCTCTTCCTCTCACTCATGAGCTCGCTCAGCGCCTGGTACCACTCCTCCTGCTCCTGCTCATTCTCTGCCACTATGGCAAAATATTCATCCTTGGTATACAGAGCAATGAGATGTTTATTCTTAGAGTCGGCCCTTTTATTCACAGTGAAGCACTGGTAGAGATAGATCACTCTTTTGGGAGGAGAGGCGCCGGCTGGGGCGGCAGCCGCTGAACTCGAGCGCAGCGTGTTTCGAAATTTCTTCTCGCTGTCATAATACTCCAGTCTGCTCGGCCCCACATGACTCGACGCCCGCAAGACGAAAAACCTCTTGTGGCCGTGTTTCTGCTTTCTCAGATAGCCGCACTTCCTAATGTCGTCCACCACAGCGGAACTGGTGTTCACAGCAGGGGAAGCTGAGGTAGCGTGTGTGTTGCCCGCAGCAGAGTTAAGAGAGGACGAAGATACTTTCCTCGCCGGAGACTCCAGGTGCTGCGGCGGCTGCTGTTGTTGTTGATGTTGTTCACTCGGCGGATGAAAAGCAGCGCCGCCGCCGCCGCCGACATCCAGCACGGAAGGGGGTTCCCCGACTGAGCTGTCGCCGTTCGCCGTTGCAGCTGCAGGTTTAGTCCCGATAGCTCGCTGTTGCGTTTCCAGCATCAACATAGCGGCTTTGCCTTCTTGGTAGTTCGCGAAATTTGCCATGAGAGAAGAGGTAACTGACTTTACCTCAGGCTTACAGACTGAGACCCCATGTTTGTTTGGGGGGGAACCGAGGCTCAGGCGACGCGCTTAAGTCTTTTCGGTGTTGCGCTTCTCTCGGCCGCCGCGTGAAAAGCAGGTATTCCAGCCAATGCTCCTCGAGCTCAATGCCAGCAACTGCAACATGACCACATTTACCCGATCTATTATCGGCAGATCCTCCTAGCGGGCTACCAATCTGCTCCTCGCGCCCTGTGTACACTACGGAGCACAGCACAAACAACACATGACTCGTGCGTCATTCGCCTGTGGGCGGAAGAATGCGCCCGATTGAGCGAAACATGTGATTGACGGTTCACCCGACCAATCACAATCTAATATTTCGGTGCACGTCAATGCGACCGACCAATAGTTACACTCGGAGTTTCATTGAACTGGCACGCTGACGCCCGGTGATTGATAAGAGTTTTGTCCAATGAGATACTGCAAAGCAGTCTGTGTAGTAAAATATCGAACGCTTATTGGCTGCAGCGTTTGACTGACAGGTCATCTATCCTATCGCAAGCTTTTTCAAAGTTCCTCGTTCAGTGTTGTTTACGTCGTCCTGATGCTTATCGCTTATTTTCCACCTTCTGTAGTCGAGTATGCCTAATTACATTTGTTACATGTTTCCCAAACAACAATGCATACATCCGTTTATCTAATTATTATTGCAATTTGACGGGGATTGGTATTTTAACACAAGCACTCCGGATTTGTTATGTGCGGATTTGCTAGCTGTAGTGTATTACAGTACAGTAGCAGCTTCTGCCAGCTGACGGTGTTTTGAAAGTGAGTTGAGACAGCGTTCTTGTGAAATTAATCAAATAATGTAAGGTTAAGTAACTACACTGTAAAAATTATATGATCAATTACTCCTGACAACACATGTTTTTTAGCTCATAGTAAAGTATTTAACGTTACCTACGTTAATCGTGTTCTAACTTAATTGTATAAGTTATGCAAGCTGTTTCAAGTCAGTTTAACATAATATAAGTTCAGTGGATTTATAACGTTTATTTGGTTCAACTTAAAAAAACAGTGTCAATGAAGGAAATATTTTTGTTGCAACTGCCCCATGTTCCCCACTGTTCCCTACTATGGAAGTCAATAGGCCAAAATGTTTAGTATATATTTTGTGTTCAACAGAACAAAGATATTCAAACTTGTACTGAAGAAGTAATTGAAGACAGAATACGGCTTTATCTCTTTAAGGACAAAATGTATACATGAAGTAAAACTGAAACTTGAGAATGCAGTGCATAATATATCAGTGAATAATGAATCGGGTAGAGTTGTGTTCTTAGTACTGTAGTCAGTCCTCTGAGGTAAAGTTTTCCCATCTACGCACTGGTAAGGATATTAATACAACTCTACATCAGAGGTCAAACAGTATAATATTAATTTTTTATCATACCATCTTTAATGGCTGAGCCCCCATAAATAAAACTGTTAAAATGCCCCTGCCCTGCCTCCATTTGTTTGGTTAAAACCACTCTATAAAATAAACTACTGAGACTAATCCACAGTATATAACGCACACAAGTCAAACAACATCAAAATGAATCAATTAGTCCTGACAACATATGTTTTAAATAAGTTAGTTAATCTTTTTGTAACTTAATTTTATAAGTTATGCATGCTGTTTTAAGTCAGTTTAACATAAGCTCAATGGACACAAAAGGTTTATTTGGTTCAGCTTAAAATGTTTTGGGCAAGCAGGATTTTTTTAGTGTAGTTTGCTGTTCTTGTCATACTGGTATCAAAGCTCCTTATGTCAACCCCTAAAAGTTGAATTGAAGTTCGCTTGTGGCCATACATTGAAACCAAGCTTAAATAAAACAAGAGAATCATACATAAAGGTGTTTTACGATTCTCATGTTTTATTTAAATCATTCATAGTAAACATTCTTTACTTTTTTAATACTATTAAAAGGGTTTCTTTAGGCAGGGTGCGAATTATACATTGACGATCGAGGGAAGGGTTGTCTGCAACTAAAAATGTTCACTGCTGTTTAGCGATGACATTTGAACAGCAAAGCAATTATTGCTGAAGAAATTACTATGAAATCATTTTGAGAGGCAGTCAGTGCAAAAATATGTTTTGGTGAAAGTGTTGTGAGCATGAATTTTGATTTTGACATCTCCATATTACTCAAAACTGATTATCATGAATATAATTAATTCATTCATTCTCTTTTCGACTTAGTCCCTTTATTCACCAGGGGTCGCCTCAGCGGAATGAACAGCCAACTTATCCAGCATATGTTTTACGCAGCAGATGCCCTTTTAGCCGCAACCCAACACTGGGAAACACCCATACACTCTTATTCATACACTCACTTCATACACTACAGCCAATTAAGTTTATTCAATTCACCTATATCACATGTGTTTGGACTGTGGGGGAAACCAGGGCACCCGGAGGAAACAAACGCCAACGCGAGGAGAACATGCAAACTCCACACAGAAATGCCAACTGACCCAGCAACCTTCTTGCTGTGAGGCAGTCGTGCTACCCACTGCGCCACAATGACGCCTATCTTGAGTATATATAGTTATATAGTTATAAGTTAACATTTCCTAAAAAGATGTTTGGTAAACATTGACATCTCATACACTTCTTTTTATGGTTATTCTAAAATGTCTAAATGTAACCGAAAATATAAAAGACATGAAACAGCAAAACCACAGTAAGCTTTTTCCAGCTGTTTAATTAAACATGTGACATTGTGATCCCACTAAGAAGAAGCAGGACTAGTTCATAAATAATATAAAAAATCATATACATGTAAAGAACGGGGTGTAATCTTTCTGTGAGTTGATGAGCAGGTTTGTTCTGTCAGGTAATCTGGTTAGGGCTGACCTGTGGCCCTGCTGCAGTCTTATGTATGGTCAGTGCTAGATAATCCACACAGGGCATGATAATGTAGGTCGCCATCTGCTGCGTTTACTGACACAATAACAAGAGGGCACTGTTTTACTGTTTATCGCTTCTGTGGAATTTCTATTGCATCTGAGAAAAAATGCTATGAACAAGACATCATTTGCACTGTATTAATCGATATATAGATATTTAAGTTTTTATTTTAAACGTGAATTAATATTTTCTATAAATATACAGTACCTTTCCAAACTTTCAGGTCAGTAAAAATAAAAAATAAAATTCTATTTATTTTGCACTTTTAAACTTTCTCTTACACACTGTAAAACCTCACTGCCAACTTTATCAAATGAAATACCTCATTACTTCAACTTAAAAAGAGCAAGTACTTATATAGTTTTTTAACTCAAATGGTTTGTTGGAATCAGTTTCCTCAAATGGTTTGAGTTACCTTTACTTATTGGGTTGTACAGTGCATTGAAGAACATTGATAGCATACAGTTCTATACAACAGTTCTGTCTGGTTCTCGAATCTGATTGGCTGATAGCTGCGATATATATAAGTAATATCAGCACCCATACAGCCTCTTTACCCTTTTTGTATTACTCCGCCCACATACAGCCAGCAACTAGCAGAGACACTACAGTTTGACAAATAATACTGCTGTTAGACAAAAAAATATATACTTTTGGGGTTTTTTTAATCGAGAATGTAGTTGTTTAGATTGCAACTATGCAGTTTGTTTGCAAGAATAGTGCCTATTTTAAAATAGTTACAATTTTTGAGATAGCTCGTCGACTGCCATAGTGTAGACCAAAGACAGTTTACGCTTTCTATCCACAAGATGACGACAGAGCCACATAAGCTTTAACGCTTAGAAGCTTATAACAGTCTGATTTCTAACTATAGCAGATCAAATCATTATTAAATTGGTAAGCAATACCCGCTAACACTATTATTCCACTATTATCCCGTATTTCAGACCAGTCTCCTGCCACCATCCCGTTTTTATTTCTTCCTAAAAAACTTGCGTAATTTCACCACCCCACCCTTTGGTACAGTCTGTAATCACCCCCGGGTTGCAAACTTTGGTGCAGTACCCGATTGAAGCGGCCCCCCAAAACCCGCTGCATCCTATCCCTGTTCTCAACAGTGTAACACCCCCGAACACCCCCTAATCCCGGTCTCTCAGATTTTCATAGACATGTTGGCAGGTTAGATGATCTCTCACTTTTGTATGTTGTAGTGCTGTATTTATACCGATTTTCTCGCATATCAGGAATGTGTGTTGTGTTGGCAGATTGAAATAAGCAAAGTCCGCATGTGTTAAGCGTTTTTCCTTATCGCAAACAAAACAGCAGTCTGATATTGATTGCGTTGCTTTTTTAGGGTTAATTGTGATAGCGATATCCCGATTGCAACAGTGAAATACTTTAGACTGTAACACTGGAAGAAGATATCAATGTAGATGGATGGCATTTCATGTCACGTTTAGCCTTATAATCATCACTTTAGACATAGAGAATCATTCAAACACTAGCTCTAAAGTGATGTTGGTGAATTAGTAACAGTTTCTGCTGGCGGAAGAAAGTAGTTCCTAATAAAAAGGGGTTTTTAGAGTCTCTGTGTTTGATTTTCTTATTCATATACACAATTGTGCCGTTGAACTGTTGTATGAACGCAAAATTACACTCGTAGCAGTGCGATATGGCTGTATATCAGCACTTGTGGCAACGCACGCCTCCCACCAGTGCTGATATAAAGCCATATCGCACTGCTACAAGTGTGATATTGCTCATTTATATTATCTATATCTATATAGTATATATATTTATATACTATCTATATATATATATATAGTTTCTATTATATATACTGAGCAACACAACTGTTTTCAACAGATATTATAAGAAATGCTTTCTGAACAGTTGCAATTATTGCAATAAATTGTAATAATAATACACACTGTTATGTTTTTTTCTGTTTCCAGTCAACCAAATGAACCCTTGGTTAGCTTTCGTCTTTTAAAGACAAAAAAATCTAATATATATCTGTATTATATGAGCAATTCCATGCAAATGTCAACCTTGCCATGAAATAAATTCGCCAAAAAATCGAAATTGTTTTTTTTGTGTGTGTGTAAGCAAGTATAATACAGTACTTAAAATTTTTTCAGAAATGTCTCTATCAGTGTTTTCAAACTATTATACTTGATTTACCAAAGTCACACAAGTGGCAACTTCACATCCGTCTCATCCATAACCAAGCTATTTTTCTCATAAATGCAAAAAATGTCAAATAACATAAAGTCAATCATTTCTGTTCTAGTGAGCCAACTCTTACTCTTTTGATTAGCTTTGTTTCTTTT